AAAGTCTGACCGCATGAACAGTGAAGGAGTGAGAATAAAAACCGGAATTGAAGGAAGGAAAAGATAACTGGGACCTAACGAGAGAGTGACAGGATTTGTCCTGAGATCTGAGAAAGCTGATAACCGGGAGACTAAAGGCCGGCGCAGACTGACGTCGCGGCACGGCACGGCATGCCGAAGCGCGTTGCGGCATGCTGCGGCATGCCGCGGCATATTCGCTGCGCGCCATACGCCGAAATCGCCGCCGCACTAGTTTCAAACCTTATTTCAATTAGTTTAATTGTCACAATTCTGTGACCGACGTGACTTGCGGGACGTCTGTGGAATGAAACGGCATGCCACGATGTGCCGCGGCATGCCGCGGCATGCCACTACGTGCCGCGGTATAATTGTATCGAAATAAAGTAACATGAATTCTAACCTCGATGAAATAAGGACAAAAATAACTTGATCAAAAATAAAATCCTTTGCCGTGCCGTGCCATGCCGCGACGTCACTCTGCGCCGGCCTTAAGGGTTATGAATAATGTTATAGAGAACAGAGACAATATGCAAATTCCTGTTTATTTTACTGTTTATTGTCGCAGTCACTTGCGTTGACTGCGACAATAAACAGTAAAATACACATTTTATACGCATTGAGCACGGAATGGGTATGTCCATACTAAGAAAACGTTCGTTCATACTTTAGGTAGATTAATTCCGATCACTGGCAAGTAATAAACCGTACCTTTTGACACACGGTACACTTGTGTACGTAATTCTTAAGATGTTCCCAGTCCACATGGTCCTTGAGACGTGTTTTGTTGGCAAACTTCTTGCCGCATTCGCTGCACATGTACCTTATGAACAAACCGCTATTAAAAATTCAGCAACACTTATAATTGGAGATGGAATTCGAGATCAAAAATGTAAACAAACAATTGTCATTGTAAAAAAAATGTTTACCATCTATGAGATGTCACGATGTCAGTCTCATATATGATAAACATTTTATTCAGGTTCGTTTATTAACATGTAATCGGACTGTCTTTTGCTGTGATTACTATGTATTTACGGCCTTAAGGCTGACTTTGCCTATCTCAAATATGATTATTACTAAAATTAATAATACAACTACAAAAAAATTAAAAAATGTTTCGCAAGAGCTTCACTTCATAAACAACGTTGAAATAAGTACCAGAAAGATTAATATAACTAAACAATTGGATACAAGATGTCCCCATTGTGGTATATGTAGTGTCAATTTTTAATTGTTATTAGTGGGTACGCATGTATCGGCGAACCAGTCTGCATTAAACGTTGATTACGGATAGACTCAACTCTTTTATTTGTGAGCCTCCCGAATATTACAGTATACACGGAATAACAGATTAGTGGAAATGGTAACAAACGGCATTAGTATCAAAACCGGTGTCGCCCCACTCACACACATGTGAACTAAGATGAAATTACACTACAAGATAATATATAATATGTTAATAAAAGATAATAATATACTGCCTCCGTGGTTGAACGGTTACCACACTGGTCTGCCATGCAGAGGTCCCGGGTTCGATTCCCGGGATATTTGTATAATAAATATTAAATAAGTATTAGACAACACCACACACGTTGTTCTGATCCCAAAGTAGCTAAAGCACTAGTGTTATGGATACTCAAACACCCAGACCCCGACACAATATAGAAAAATTAGTTTCTACAGTGACCCGGCCGGGGATCGAACTCGGGACCTAAGAGATGGCGACACCATGAAAATCGGTGTGCGAGCCACTCGACCACGGAGGCCGTCAAATGTATGGCCTACATTTATTTCTCTCGTGAGTTTGGGTGTTATGTGTGTGTCCATGGCACCCGCGATACAGGGTTTCCCTAGTGTGGGACTATGAGTGCGTGCGTTATTATTATCATAGTATAATCTTACATTTTTATTGAATTGATATTCAATTATTTTTTGTGAAATTACTCCACTAGTTTGTTATAATTATTAATACAAAGATCGAACACTCGGAAAAAATTCCTCCGATCCGGCCGGATTCGAACCACGAATTTTTCTATGTGCTTGTTGTCGTGTCTTTGTATTTGGTTTTTCAACGACTTTTCAGTCGTAGCGCCATCTATGAGAAATCTATGAAAGTTTTATCACCCCGTTAGATACCTTTGCAGCTACCAGCCGAGAGATGTCGCTATTCACTGTATTTTAAATTTTTATTGAATTGATATTCAATTATTTTTGTGAAATTACTCCACTAGTTTGTTATAATTATTAATACAAAGATCGAACACTCAGAAAAAATTCCTTCGATCCGGCCGGATTTGATAGTATAATCTTGACTAATCAAGATCAATCAAATATATCTAAATATAAGTATCAAAAGAAATTAGGCCTATAGTTCAATCAATAAATTGAACATTAATTAAACATTAAAAAATTTTCTTATTTGTAAATATTAATATGCAACATTTTCTAAAATATATGTTTCATTTTACCATGCTAATATGGCAACACTACTAAATCTCAAAGTGTGCACATCGCTGTAAAAATATAAAAATTAAGATTCTAGCCTGCGTCTTATTTAACACCTATAGTATATACGTTTTGAGAAAAAAAAAGTTATATGAAAAAAAAAATACTTTTCAGTAATTTACTATTACTAACGACGAAACTGACCACACTAATGTCCATATTACTTCCACTAGTTTGCTATTCTGTGGTGGTACAACAGCTTGAGGCGTTCCAATTTTAATGGATCTTATCACAAGCTACTGTAGCAGCCACCAGACGTGCCAGTATGTGAAACCCTATTCCGATTTTCCGGCTTATATATTTTTACAGGATATATCACGGAGAGTGTGCGGATAGAATTACACGATTTAATTCCGCCTTTCCATCACCAGGGGACTAGGCGTAGGCTTGGGTTCCACCCCTATATTTCAAATAGGATTATAGGATTGGATATTTCAAAGATTCGCACGCAGCGTTACGCTTCCACATTTATATGGCGAACGGCTATGGAGTGGAATTCCCTGATTGCAGACTTGTTCCCTGAACGTTATAACTTGGGCCTTTTCAAGGGGAGAGTGAATAGGCGTTATATACATGTATATTTTTTGAAGCTACTCGAGACGCCTCATTTTTATCTACACAACATATGTAACTATAGATGATGTTATTTAAGACCAAATTATTATACAAATGTAGATAAAGAAAGCTCTTTATTATTATTATTTAGGCGTGTGTGCTCCATCGTCGACCTCATCGTCACTTTCTATCAGGAGAGATGGAGGTCAAATGCGCACTTACATTTTACAAAAAAAACACGTCTTAGTACAAGCAAAAGTAACAATCATACACTATAAATAAGTTTCTTAGCCAAAGTATAACTAGTCATCTACCAACCGACGACTCAATTATTTCTACCTTATATCACCAAGGCGCAGAGGTGACAACTATGACCCTTTCACCTGCGTCATGGTACTGTAGTCTAGGCTCTACTCTATGAGTAGAATCACTGGCTGAGTGAATATAGTTTTGTATTTAGAATGTGTTTGAAAAAATGAAATAGAAAGAATAGAACATCTTGGGAGTTCGAGATGTAACCTCAATAAGTGAAAATGTAAAATGTACAATAAATATTAAAATTTGAAGACTATTCCAGTTTATATTTACAAAAGTACCTCTTGCTACGCATCCTAAGCTACGCCCCAGCTTACAAAACCTACTAATACTTACTTAAAATCGTTCTCAGAGACATGTTTCCTGCTAGATTGCATGTGTTGTTTGTACGTCGCTATGGATGAAAATGTTCGTCCGCATGGCTCACAGACTAGCTCGCCTTTGGCTCTGTAATAATTTTAAAAATGGCGTCATATTACTATAACCTTTAATCACGTGTGAAGAAATGTCGACAAATACTGACAGGACGGTATTATAACAATGATAAGCTAGTCTTAAAAGGATCTAGCAGCGTGGCTACCAAAATGTGAAGGTTTCTAAAATCTCTCACTAAATGTTACTAGAGGCGTAGAATGCCGAAAAATCCAGAACAAAGATCTCTAACAAAAACACATAGGAGAATTTCGAGAAATTTTCTCATCACTGATACCGTGTAGCTCTTTAGGCATCAATACCGTTACAAACTAGCGGTAAACTAGTCATAAAAGGGATTTACCCGGCAGCGTGACTACACAAATGTCAACAGTTTTTCTCATCACTAGTACCGTGTAGTTATTTAGACACCAATACCAGAGAATAAAAAAGTAACGAGACTGGACACTCTCCGCCCTTCCCTAGCTTTAGTTACCGCACCACGCCCCGCACATTGACGGAACGGCAACAAGACTGTGTCGGCGAGCCGTTTTCGCGATAAGACAGGTTTGATATTTGAATATAGTTTTCATTTATTCATTACGAAACTTGTACGTTTAATATATGACATCAAATAATTGTACGTTACTATTTATAATGGTCGTGAATTGTGCTGTTTATCATCATCTAAACGGGATAAAGAGAGGGGTTTCTTTCGTTTTCCGAAAGATGAAACGAGGTCAGTAAAAAAAACTTATGTCTGTGACTCATTCAGATATTGTTTTCGAATTTTTTTAGTTCAGAGTAATATATAATACAGATTTAATATATCAATACAATGAGACGCCGTAAGTTCGTAAGTTAGTAGATAAAAGTTCTAGAATTTTCAATTTGTATTGCCGATAAATATTATGTAGTCAATGTACCTAATTATTAACTAGATAAACTTGGACACGCAATGTCAAATACCTTGGTTACATTATTTAAAAGTACCTGTCCAAAATGTAACATTATAAGTGATTTTAATATATTTTCTAAATAAATCTTCAATATTATTTTAGTTAGTGAATTAATGAAAAATATAATATTTTATCGATACAAATACCTAATGAACATGTGCAATTATTAGGATACTATTAACAGAATTATAGGTAATAGATTCCCACCCAATAGGTTGCCACTCTGAGCACGTAACGTAATAAATAGAAAGTGATGGGTAACCCTGCCACTTCACACACACATTCTCGCGTGTGCAGATAGAGGCTTACTGTATGTAGTAGTAGTAGGTAAATAACTTTCGACTGTTGTATGGAGTGTCCGGAGTGTGTCACAATATTATTTTTATTTTATTTATTTATTTATTTAAACTTTATTGCATACAAAAAAGTACAAATGGCGAACTTAATGCCATTAGGCATTCTCTACCAGTTAACCAGAGAGCTGAGTACAGAACAATTAACAGGCGTTGCAAAACTTGACAACAAACAAACAAAAACGAAAGAGAAAAAAAAAAGAAAGGAAAAAAAAGAAAAGAGGAATAAAGTTAATAAACAAACAATTTGGTTAATGTATATATTATGTACATAAATATGATCATACATAAACAATAAAAATTAATTTTATACATACATAATAATAAATATATATACATAACAATAAATTAAATTATAATAATATATATAATAAACATATATCCAAATGAGACTATTGTGATGCAGGTGGAGAATTTAGCATTAGATTGCGGACTAACTGCTTAAATGCGAGTTTATTTGGCGCACTTTGAATATGGGGTGGGAGAGCGTTCCAGAGTCGTATTGCCTGAAGAGTAAACGAGTTAGAGACAAAACCAGTACGGTGAGGAGGAACAGATAAATTAAATTTATTATGTGAACGCTGATCACGGGCATTGTGCACACCAAAGTATTGAAACTTACATTTCAAATACTCTGGTGCACATGGGTCTTTGAGTACGGAATAAAGCGTGGAGAGGATTCTCAGATTCCGGCGCTGACGAATCGTGAGCCATTTCAACTTGTCACGATATGCGGACACATGATCATACTTGCGAAGACAGTAAATGAACCGGATACAACTATTGAGCAACCGCTCCAATTTGTTGAGAAGTTCTTGAGTGATATCAGCATAACACACATCAGCATAATCGAAGATAGGGAAAATGGTTGCCTGAATTAGCAGAATCTTTGTTGTAATGGGAAGAAAGTGTTTGAACTGATAGAATGACCTCAAAATACCAATAATCTTCTGACTAATGCAGTCAATCTGAGGTCGCCAGCAAAAAGTAGAATCAATGTGTAGTCCCAGATTCACTACATGAGGCACGAAAACAATGGATGTGCCATCACAAGAAAGAGGCGCAACGGAGCTTATGTCCAACCTAGACAAAGCATAGGGACTACCCACGATCATGCCTTGACACTTGCTTGGATTGACACTGATGCCAAACTTACTCGACCAGTCAGCAATACGTCGCAAATCATCATTGAGGTTACATATCGCATCATCCAAGGAGTCAAATTTTGCTTGCGCATAAATCTGTAGATCGTCAGCATACAAATGATGAGAGCTGCGGAGAATAGGAGAGATTAAATTTATAAAAACTGAAAATAATAGGGGAGAAAGAATTCCGCCTTGGGGCACGCCTGCCTCTAGATCGCACCAATTAGACAAGACGTCTTTGGCACGAACAGCTTGCTTGCGCCCCTTAAGGTATGAAGAGAACCATTCCAGTTCCAGGGCAGAGACTCGCAAAAAAGCTAGGATGGCTAGGAGTATATCATGGTCAACAGCATTAAAGGCGTTAGAGAAGTCAATGAGAACTAATGCTGTCAACCGCGAAGCCTCCATGCCCTCACGAATGTCTTCCGTGACTTTCAATAATGCCGTTGTGGTACTGTGGCCCGGCCGGAAACCTGATTGGTACTGGCCAAGGACATTGTGTCTAAAAAGGAAGGATGATAATTGGCGATGAACAACTGCTTCTAGAATTTTAGAAAGGAAAGGTAGTATTGAGATTGGCCTAAAGTGTTTAAGAACAGACGGATTATTTATTTTAGGAAGAGGCAGCACATACGCCCTGCGCCAGCTGCTAGGGAAAGTACCAGAGGAAAGGGAACAATTAATAATATGTGTGATAATCGGCAGTACACTGTCTAAACAGCAGACTATCATTTGACGACTAATGTCATCACAACCAACGGCATTTGATTTTAAAGACATTATTATTTTGCGAATCTCTGACTCTGAAACCGAAGAAAAAGAGAAAGCTTGAGAAGGTTGACTACACAAGAGAGGAATGTCATTGAGAGCATTGACCTTGCCAATACACTGAGTGCTGGCGGCCGCTGAGAAGTGATGATTGATGTCATCGAGAGTGAAAGAATGAGGAATAGCGTCATTCTGAGGCTTAAGCAGACCCACAGACTTCAAAAATTTCCAAGTTGCAGCAGGAGAAGACTGTACAAGATTGTCATGAAAGTTGCGGCGTTTTGCGGCTCTCACCATCTGATTACAGCGATTCCTACATAATTTGAAGGCAGTCCAATTTTCCTCCGACCTACACCGTTTAAACTTACGAAAAGCTCCGTCACGCCTCCTCATTGCAATACGCACTAGAGGAGTGATCCAGGGTGCAGGGGGTCTTTTCAATTTCACTAACCGTATTGGTGCGTATATTACAAACTGTGGTAATAAATAGTACTAATAAATAAAATATTCGTTATTCCCAGTCGTCACCACTGGCTTTGTTCCCACTGGCGACAAATCTTAACAATAAAACTGAAACTTAATAATACATTAATGAAAAATATAGGACTACGCAGTAGGACCACGGGCAATAAAAGATTTTATCGATATAAATACCTAATGAACATGTGCAATTATTAGGATACTATTATATAATTTATAGATAAGATTCGCGTTAGAATTTTCGCTATGTTGCCGCTCTGACCACGTAACGTAACAGTATGAGAAAGTGATGGATAACTCTGCCACTTCAATCAATTGCGCGTGTGCACATAGCGCCTTGCTGTATATGGTAGTCGTAAGTAAATAGCTTTCGACTGTTGTATGGAGTGTCCGGGGTGAGCCAAAACATTCCTTAGTAGGCATTGACTTACAATTATATGGACATCGGGTCAGCGCTAAAAAGTGTCCGAACTTATAGGGCGTTAAAATCGTATACAGAGCGTCATTCACGCTTTAGTCTTCGTTTGTTCGATTGACAGCGAAGCAAGCAAAATTAGACAGTACTGCGATGACATTACAATATAAATTCAACGTTTTTGCTTATACATATTCCTTTACATGTCACTACGTTTAAATAGGTTGACTTGGGACATTTTTTTCGTGGTTTTTGTATTAGACCCGTCGTCCATATAATTGTAAGTCAATGTTAGTAGGCGTAATCTTGACATAAAAAGGATTTATCTGGCAGCGTGACTACTCAAATATCATTTTTCTCATCACTGATACCGTATAGTGTTTAAGCAACCAATACTGTACTCAATAGTGGTACGCTGGTCATAGAAGGGATTTACTTGGCCGCGTGACTGCACAAACGTTAACAAATTCTCTCATCACTGGTAACGTGTAGTTATTTAGACACAAATACGTTACTTAGTAGGTGTAAAAATAAAAAGGATTTATCTGGCAGCGTGACTACTCAAATATCAACAGATTTTTCTCATCACTGATACTGTGTAGTTGTTTAAGAGGGAGCATGCCAAAAAAGTTTTGACGTTGGCTCCGCCCAAATTTGTGAAACAAATATATGCCTGAAGTTCGCGTGACATGCGACAGGAGATGTTGAATTTTGCGCATTAAAAGTACCAAATTCGTTTTAGCGGAATAACTCTAAAACTAAAGGGATTAAAAAAATCCGTAGTGACAGTTGTCAATCATGCATAAATATAATTAATTATCTAATTTTTGTCCTAATAACCTGTAGCATTTCGAGGATGAATCGAAAAAATGTGAAAATTTCGCGATTTTTATCTATCGAGGAAACTTTATTGTTTTATGTTTCTGATTAGTGTCTATGCTGGAATATATCGTGTAGTTACTCATACAATATTTTATTTTTAACTTTAAAGTGGATATACCCCTCTAAAATCAAATCGAAGATTAGGAATTTTTCCTCTGCTCCCTCTTAAGTTAATAGAAGGAATTTACCTGGCCGCGTGACTACTTTGTCAACAATTTTTCTTATCATTGATACCGTGTAGTATTTCGACATCAATACAGTACCTAATTGGAGAAATTTAATCATAAAAAGGACTTACCTGGCAGCGTGACTATTCAAATGTCGCAACAAATTGCCCCTCCACTGGAAATGCTTGCCGCATTGGCCACACCCGTATTGCTGTTTGCGGCGTACTACAGATTCTTTAATTTGTTCAATTTCCGATGCTTGTTTCTCTGACGATATAGACGTTTCAAGTTTTCTACGACAAAAAAAAAACACTGGGAGCTTTTTGTCTTTTTTTTTTAAATATCAAGGGACGGGACGAACGAATCGTGTATGCCTGATTGATGAAGCTTACACGCCTGTCCACAGAGCTTTAAATCCCTGAGACATAAGTTGACAAGTCCCATGTGGCTGTAATTTGACCAGCACTTGCTGACATTACTGCTTGGCGGCAGAAATAGGTAAGGTGGCAGTACTTCCCTGGACGAATTTAAGTTCGTGTGGGCATGACCAAACCCACCGAATAAAATGAGGGTGAAGTATACGCGTCTTAAAGGGTTGTAACTCTAACTAGCCGTGAACAGGTTCACGGCAATGAAATGGGAAACTTCCGGTCCACAAAATTTATTAAAGAAGTAAAGTTTAAAGAAAGGCTGTAACAATACAAAGGTAAATGTAAAAAAACAGGTATAACAGTATAAAACACTCCCTTTACACTTTATTATTAAGGCACTTACCCTTAAATGGGCCGAGTAACTGAATTACTGATTTAGGTACACGAAGGCTGTAGACTTATAAATTATTACACATGATTTAACTTATTAAATGATTACAAACGTAGTGAAGAAGCAGAAGTAGCGATTATTCGCGATGGAATTTGGAATAGCTTCGACTGTTGTGGCGGTCGAGCTGGGAGTGACCGTGGTACGAAAACAAAACGAGAAAGTGAAGGAAGATGGAACAATTCATATTTAAATACATGTAAAATTAAAAAAATTATAAGATACAAGCGAAAAGAGGCGATACAAAGAGGTGAGATGACGGTGTAAGGAGGTCACACCGTCACACGTCTATTATAAGATATCGGTTGATATTCAAAATTTGTCATTTACAAGGTTTAAAACTATAGTGAAACAAAAATTTTATAACTAAAGATTACTTGGATGGTAAAAGTCCATCGTAGTTACCTGTTTAGCTCTTGGAGGTTGTCTGGACCTATATATTTCGAATAAATATCGTAAATGACAAACGTGTTTCTTACTAAATCTTCTCAGCGCCTTACGAATAAGTAGTAGAGAATCAATGTGACTATTTCAAGTATAATTTGGTTACCTATGGAATGATTTCTTTTGTGCTTTTTTTGTCTGTTGATATACCATAAACAAAATACCTGAGTTTCAATTGAATTTGGTGCTTCGAACTGGTCTTGACATGCTTTTGTAGATTAGACGTTGTCGTGAATGATAACCTGGAATTTAATTAATATATTGTCAGTTAGAGTTATGTAGATCTTGGTGGTTTAGTTGTTAACACGGTGGGCGCTAAATTTCGATATATTTTTTACACACTCGCTCGTAAACAGTATCATTACATGCAGGCAAAGTTGACCGTAATGTCCTAAATTATGCACACGGGCTTTTCAATTACATTATCGCTCTATGAATTTTTTTCGTCAAGATTAAGCAAAAAGTTTTCATGCTCGAAAAATCTGAACGTACATATCGCATAAACCTGAAGCATAAAAACACTAAAAACTTTTTTTAGATCTTATTCTGCAGTACTTTTAGAATTTGGAAATTATTTCTTTTATATCCATACATACATGCGTCTGCACTGCCTTTTATAACAGTTTAGTTCGAGTTTTATTACCTATGGAAGAATAGCTGGCAATCTGATTAGAAAAAAAATACAAAAACCAGTGTTTTATTATACTATGGCTATTGTCTGCTTAATTTCTGTGCACTCACTGCACAGAAATTAAGCAGACAATAGCCATAGTATAATAAAACAAGCGGTAACTCCATACAAACGTAGCAGCGCGGCTTGTATGTATACTAGTCCGCCGCGCGCCGTGTACGGACGCAATCATACGCATAATCTCACGCGGCACTGGAGTTGCACGACAGTCGTCGATTGACGCATTTAATTAGCTTTTTACAAAACAAATTACAAAACAAAATTCTGTTGCGTTCGCAATATAAGTTGTCATTCGAATGACAGAATTTCAGTGTTGCCATTTTAAGAAAAGCGAAATCCCAATATTAAACGACTAACGTAGACGAACGTCTTTGATTTTAATAGAACCTTACGACACGTCTACCCATAACCGTTGCAGTGTCACTCAAAACTTTAAACCGTAAAAATCTAAAGTCCCATGTGTCTGTAGTTTCACCAGCCCCTCACCCTTCAAAACTGGAACGCAGTAATGCGTACATTACTGCCTGGCGGCATAAATAGGTAAGGTGGCAGTACTTCCCTGGACGTGGACTACATTGTATAGCCACTTACTTGCACGGTTCGCAGTAGGGCTTCCTCTTCTGTCCGGTTTCAATCCTATGAGTTTCCAGGTGTTTACGAAGAGATGTCTTCCATTTGAACGATTTTGCGCAGTATTCACACGGAAAGGATGGTTGCTCGAGTTTTGTACTAAAGAGAAGATAATATCTATACTTAGTTAGTAGTCAACACCCAAGGGCGCTCACCCAAGTCAACGGGCTGATCTGGGGTAGGACCTGCGTCCTGATTTTGATTAATATAGGAATCGATCCGATCGGGTTGTCTCGAAATCAGATGGGTGTCGGTAGAAGAACGAGAAGATGAACCTGATTCCTACTATATCTTTCTAATATGTAACTTAAATCAACTATTTCTTTATGTTCGATTACAAATGCTAAAAGTGTCCGATCGGCCAGTTGTGAATCGCAATTAAGCGCCTCGGTTCGGCAAAGACGCAGTTTCCGATCGGGAGAAGCAAACAAAATCAAGCTGCTGACTAATAAGGGTCCTGTGCAGTAATACAATATAATACAATATAACAAGTAATAGCTTTCTCTCAGAGAAAAAAATAAGGAGACTGGTACCATGACTATAGCATCACAGTGGATTTGCTCAAATATTTTGTATGCCCGTAAAAATATACATAATTTCTATTTTCAACATATTTACAACCGTGACCATGGGACCTGTAAAGGGCCCGAAACGTCGGTTTGTTTGAAAAAACAAATATACGCGATTTAAATCCGGAAAAATAGTTTCATTTCCTATGTGTAACAATCGCGAAAACCTAAGAACTCGATATATACATAATTTCATTAAGAAACAAGATGTGCATAATATTAACCTTAGAACTAAGTCCAAACTCATGGTTAACTAACTTAAGCGATTCTTTTATGGGAAATTGCATTGACTTACAAATAAATGGACGACGGTTCTAATACAAAAACCACGAAAAAAATGTCCCAAGTCAACCTATTTAAACGTAGTGACATGTAAAGGAATATGAAAAAGCTAAACCGTTGAATTTAAATTGTAATGTCATCGCAGTACTGTCTAATTTTGCTTGCTTCGCTGTCAGTCGAACAAACGAAGACTAAAGCGTGAATGACGCTCTGTATACGATTTTAACGCCCTATAAGTTCGGACACTTTTTAGCGCGGACCCGACGTCCATATAATTGTAAGTCAATGGGAAATTGTATGCGTTTTTATAATAAGATTCCATAGCATATATAAGATAATTATTTCCTAAAAAGTCATTTTATAAAACTGGAGACTACGTATTAGATAAAGATGTATGGAAAGACGACATGACACAAGATTCTACACACATTTGATTCATTCATTTGATTCACGTTAATTCCACAGCATTTAAGTTCATTTGAAAAGAGCAATCCCTAGAGTTTCTTGCTCGTTTTTCTCAGAGAGTTAGCACAGTGAACGAGCAGTAGCTTAAAAATAACGTGTTCAAGTGTACAATTTATTTTACCTATTGAATAAATGATTATTTGACTGCCCTTCCCGCATAACCAAAAGGTTGGGTAGAGAGGGCACTATAATCAAAACTTAGTAGAAAATATGGGTCTGCTCTCTATAAGATGCAATTGGAAGGCTTTTGTCTCTGCCTATCCCGACGAGAGAAGGGCGTGAGGTATGTATGCAAAAAATTACTAAGAATATTTCAAAATTTTACATATTTAAGTCTAATATATTTAAATGTGTTACCGTGTGTATATAATAATAATAACGCACACACTCAACATAGCCCCGCACTAGGGAAACCCTGTGTCGCGGGTGCCATGGACAGACACATAGACAACCACAAATTACATCCAAACTCACGGGAGAAATAAATGTAGGTCATACACATATTTCGCCCGGCCTGGGAATCGAACCCAGGACCTCTGCATGGCAGTCCGGCATGGTAACCGTTCGGCCACGGAGGCAGTTAATGTATATGTATAAAGCTTTGTTAGTGGGTTCTGGGACAAAATCGAACAATAAATGTATGGTGTAGGCATTATTAATAGCTTATTACGCATCCCACTTCTGAATGAAAGTATCACCTAAGTTAACCAATGTTAAAGTACCGACTTCACGACGTTACGAATGACTGTTTTACCTGCCTGTTTTGACGTTCTAGTTTCATCACGTTTTCCTTGACCTTTAAAACAAGTGATCATTATAAAAATGTGTTCAGACAATTTAGAACATACCTTTCGACACTAGGATCCTGCCTCTCTTCAATCTTTCCGTTTTGTAGAGACTTTTCACTTACGTTTTCATAATTTGCGTTAATTCTGTAACAATTGCGATATTATTAATAATAATGCAGAATTGTAAATACGCAGCATAATGCTAACAATTTATTGCTTAATGCCAAGAAGACAAAATGTGTTAAATTTGGATTACCTAACGTAAAATCGACTAGTCCAAGCATAGAAATAAACGGAGAAAACCTAGACCTTGTTAATAAAGCAGTCTTCTTGGGAGTGACCTTAGATAGT